CCATGTTTTTGTGAGGAATGATTGTGGATGATGCTGGTTTTGGTTGAATGTTGTGTATTTATAACATCACATGGGTATGGGTAAGCATTTGCAAGGCTGGATCTTTCATTTGGAGCAGTTGTTCACCGCAACAAGTTTTCAAACTTTCAGATTTTTGCAAGCAACTGCTTAATTAGTAATTCTTTGTTAGTCTTCCCTGCACTGCAAACTGCAAAGTAAGCACACAAACTAGCTGAGAGGTCAAAGGCTTCATTGAAGGGAGAACTGGAATTTGATGACTCTTTTATTTTTCACTGGTCCTACCTTTATTTTTAAGTGGATAACTGTGGATTTTAAAAGCAGGAGAATAACTAACATGGGTGTTGATTGCTTCCTTTTAAATCCTTTAGAAGCTAGCTATAGAGATGCTTTCAAAAGAAATGTATCCCTGAAATTGTTTTAAGATTTTTTTTTAATTTGCTCTGATTAAAAAAAAAAAACAAAAAAACCCGCAAAAAAACCAAACCAACAAACAAAAAAAACCACAAAATACCACCTAATGGAAAAAGCTTTTCAAGCAAACTTTGCCAGTATGCTCACATTCCTTTGTAATTTGGGGGAAAGTGAAATGTATTAATAAAAAAACACTTCTGCTGCTGTGTCTAAGTGGTTTTGTCCGTTCAGGAGCCTACGTTTAGTCATCTGGGTCTGAAAACATTGCTTGTTTCCTCTGATTAGCATTAAGCTGCTTTTATGGTTACACTGAAATCATTTTAACACAAAGTTGGTAGATAAGTCTGTCTTTGTCATTTTAAACCAGGGTCTGATTCATTGTCAAAGCTCTCCTTTGTGCTTATGGCTGCAGAAGTATCCAAAGCAATGAGCTGAGCTGGATGCGGGTCCCTCTCCAAATTCCTCCTTGCATGAGTAATAGTTAGTCACAAAACCGGAGCTGCTGTCCTTGCCTTAGTCACCAGACCCATGCAGTCACTCCTTGCTGTCCTTTATACCCAGCAGCTCTGGGGAGGGGGATTATCTATGCCCGATAAACCTCCATCCGGCCCCCATCTCCTTCATCTTGTCTGGGGAGAACAGGAAACAATTATTTGGAAAGCGTGCTCCTGCGTGTAGGAGATCTGACCCAGCCCTGAGTCAGCTTTGTAAAGCCAGCCACACCTTGCTCGCCAGGTATGCGAGGAGGCCGTCACGACTTCCTGCTCGCACTGCTGCCCTGCTCGCTCCTCTCCTCTGTCTGGAAGTGCATTCCTAGGGGGGACGTGCTACTTTCTGCCTGTGAGGCAGCTGAGTTCAAGGGTGTCTGAATTAGGGGGTGATGCTGGTTAGATGGGAGTTTGTCATCTTTGTCTTGCTGATTTGTTGAGTCTTTGAAATTTATGGAAGTAATTTTTCTTTTAAAATGGCCTTGTTTCGCTAGGACTGCAAGAGTTGAAAGGTGTGGTATGATTTTGCAAAAGTGATATTGCTAGGAGGTATTCTGATGAGCCATACTGGCTCTGCAGGACCATAGAAACCAAGGTACTGAATTAGGGAATTTACCACATTTTGCAAGAGGTGGTTTAGTGAGGGACACTTCCGCCACAGCAAAACATGGGGATTCTCAGAATCTGGGTGAGTTTCCCTTTCCCAAGTTATCATAGAATCATAGATTGGTTGGTGTTGAAAGGGACCTTAAAAATTATCTAGTTCCAACCCACCTGCCCTGGGCATGGACACCTCCCACCAGACCAGGTTGCTCAAAGCCCCCTCCAACCTGGCCTTGGACACCTCCAGGGACGGGGCAGCCACAGCTTCTCTGGGCAGTCTGGGCCAGGGTTTCACCACACTCAGAGTAAAGAATTTCTCCTAATACCTAATATAAATGTACCCTCTTTCAGTTTAAAACTGTTCCGCCTTGTCCTATTGCTCCACTCCTTGATTAAGAGTCATCCCCTTCCCCCCCCCCCCCCCTGGAGCCCCTTTAGGGACTGGAAGGGGCTCTGAGGTCTCCCTGGAGCCTTCTCTTCTCCAGGCTGAACACCCCCAACTGTCTCAGCCTGTCTTCTCAGCAGAGGGGCACCAGCCCTCTCAGCATCTTCTGGGCCTCCTCTGGCCCCAGTCCAACAGCTTCATGTCCTTCTGATGTTGGTGACCCCAGAGCTGGAGGCAGCACTGCAGGGGGGTCTCCCCAGAGCAGAGGGGCTGAATCTACCTTACCCTGCTGGCCATGCTGCTGGGGATGCACCTCAGGATTTGGGGGGCTTTCTGGGCTGCAGGTGCACGTTGCCAGGGTGTGTTGATCGTCTCATCCATCAACACACCACAGTCCTTCTACTTAGGGCTGCTCTCCGTCTGTTCCCTGCCCAGTCTGTATTTGTGTTTGGGGTTGCCATGACCCATGTGCAGGACCTTGCACTCGGCTGCATTGAGCTTCCTGAGGTACATATGGGCCCACCTCTCAAGCTTGTCAGGGTCCCTTTCTTTGTTTGACCTGACTCTGCTGGCGCAAGTCTGGTTAGGGTACAGTATCTGACCTGAAGCAATGTGCTTCTAAAAACTGCTCTAAATGAGTAATTTTGCCAAGAAGGGATGTCCCTAAAGCAATCCTTTGTGTTGATTATAAATTTCTGCTGCCACCTACTGAAAGGTTCCCAGTTGTCTGGCTTTTGTTGTAGTTAACATCAGGCTGGGGTGCAGGACTTCACTGGAATAATCCATCATTTCCTGGTCACAGAGAGCAATTTGCCTCCACCTCCACTGAAAATGCTGTCCTGTGGCTGGGACAACTGGTACGTGCAGTGTCCTACCAGCCAGGCTGGGATCTGGGGAAAGAAAGGCTGCTCTGCAAGCAGGTTTTCTTTCCTATTGTGTTGTTCCCCCTTCCCTTGAAGGTGGCCTCCCTAGTACCAAGTGTGGGAAGCAGTGGGTGCTTTTCCAAATCAGCTTTTTCAGAATATGTTTCTCAGGGTTTCAAGGCGCTATGGTAACAATGGGGGAAGCCCTGCTGGTTGTGCTATAGGTAGGATCAATACAAGATGAAGGTGGATTTGCACCAGCAGTTTTTTAGGCAGGTGCTTCTAAAGATCCTCCTGAGTTGGCAGGTCCACTTGTATTATTGATGTCTTCTTTTCTTCAGTCTAATCCAGATGGTTTTGAAGTGACTGAGGGTCCCTGATGCCTTCTGGAAAGAAGGCCTAAAGGAAAACCCAAGGATCTGAATCATCATTTCTCCTCTTAGGTATCGTCGTGCTTCTGTCAGCAGCTGTCATCAGAAACCAGCTGCGCTCCTTTCCTATTGCAGTTAACTCACTCTTGAGCAAACTCTGTGCAACTTCCTGAAAGCAACAACTCTGCTTGGAAAGTCTTGAAGTACATCTAAATATTTGGTGGTTGCTGTACCATGGTAATTACAAATGTGTACATGTGCCACAGTGTTGAACTGGGTGATGACCAGTGCTGGGTGGACCCATCAGGGTGTAGGACTGCCTGCAGACCCACCACGCCCCATCACCGGTGCCCACTATTTCAATTTCTTCTGAAGCAGAAGCAGCTGGGTGCTGTTCAGCAGGTCCACCTCTTTCCTGTTTATGGGTTCCAAGTGAAGTCATAGAGCATTTAGAGTTGGAAGGGACCTTAAAGATCATAGAGTTCCAACCCCCTGCTCTGGGCAGGGACAGGGACACCTCCCACCAAACCAGATTGTTCAAAGCCTCATCCAGCCTGGTCTTGAACACTTCCATGGATGGGGCATCCACAACTTCTCTGGGCGACCTGGGCCAGTGTCTCACCACTCTCAGAGTAAAGAATTTCTTCCTGATATCTCATCTAAATCTCCCCTCTTTCCATTTAAAACCATACCCCTCATCCTATCACTCCAGTCCTTGATAAAGAGTCACTCCCTGTCTCTCCTGTTGGCTCCCTTCAGGTACTGGAAGGCTGCTGTAAGATCTCCCCGGAGCCTTTTCTTCTTCAGGCTCAACCGCCTAACTCTCTCAGCCTGTCTTCATAGGAGAGGTGCTCCATCCCTCTGATCGTTTTCGTGGCCCTCCTCTGGACCTGTTTCAGTAGGTCCGTATCCTTCCTGTGTTGAGGACTCCAAAGCTGGACACAGTACTCCGATGGGCTGTCATAAGAGCAAGTAGAGGGGCAGAATCACCTCCCTTGACCTGCTGCCCCACTTCTTTTGATGCAGCCCAGAATGTGGTTGGCTTTCTGGGCTGCCACCATGCACTGCCAGCTCATGTCGAGCTTCTCATCCACCAAACATCCATCAACATGTCGTTGAACAGAGTGCATGTTCTGGGCACATCATCTTCTGTGATCTCAGGCTGACCCAAATGTTTGCCTTGTCTGTGGTGTGTGCAATGACAGTTGGCTGTGCTGTTCTCTGGCAAGGGGGGCTTGGACAATTCCAGCCACCCTGATGGCAGCGGTGGCCTCAAGAGTGAGGGCAGTTCATGCTGCCGCTGCCACCTGGTCCCTAGCGTGTGGGCAGCACAGCTTGCTTTCCTCTTGGGGAAGATCATTCCCCAGACAGGCTTGTGCTCCCAGCTCTATCTCGGGATCTGCTGATCACTTTCCCAAATAGTGCACACATAGAGCCCTCGAGGAATGCCAAAAATGACCTGGGTTAACTTTGGGAGATACAGAAACTCTCGGCTATCAGGTTTATTGAGACGGTGTCACAAGATGAGTTGTATCAGGGCTCCCATTTGAGGCACTGCATCATGCCTGAAGACTGCAACATTCCTCAACAAAAGCCTTCTAAGCATGAGAGTGGGTTGCCAGCATCTGGCAGCTGGTGACCTAGCATGCTGGGAGCTGTGGGGAGGGAGGTGTCCTTTGGGAAGGAACCTGCTGGCTTGCTTCATCCTCACAAGTTGGATGTAAAACAAGTTTGTAGAATAACAGTTTAAAAAACAAATTAAAGAAAAGGCTGAAATGAGAAGGTGCATTCCAATGCCAGATCCTTAAATTTCCATGGAAACATTTTTGTTTGGGTTTAAGCATATTTATGTTTGCAGGTCAGAGTTTGAAGCTCCTTTTCTCTTGCTGAGGTGAAGAGAGAGAAGTGGAATTTGAAGAGCCAAAGAAGTAGATGTTGAATGAGAAACCGCTACTTGAAACAGAAGACTCACCTGTGGGCGCGAGGCATAATACAGCATGAATAAAGCGTGGCTGCTGTGCACTGGTTTCCTGCTGAGAGCAGAAGTGCTGGTTTGGCTTTTGGAGCTGAACGTGCAGGCTGTGAAATGCTGTGCTCAACTACCAGCGCCAGACAAGGCTCCACAGACACGTGGGTCTGGCCACTGGCTCTCTCTAAAGGCAGAGGCATCTGAATTGCAGTGCTGGGAGAAATATGTTGCTTTGATCATTAAAAGCCTGTCCGAAAGGAGCTGATTAATAGTTTTCTCTTGCTGTGGAATCTGTGGATACTGGCTCTTTAATCTGTCAGGAATGTAAGGTCTATGTGCGTCATAGTGCCTCTGCGGTGAGGCGCTGGCAGCGTGATGCAATGGGAATGGAGGTGGGAGGCTCGAGCAGGAGGTGATTTCCCACTGTGTCAAAAGGCCACGGGCCACCTCTGTTAACCGCAACTCCTTTTCTTCTTCAGGATATGAACTGTAATTGTATTTGCATTAAATCTAGTATTTCCACAGCTACTGCCAACAGCAAACAGCGCAGAGCTGGTCAGGGAGCAAGTGTTGCCTGGGACAGGGAGAGAAGTGCAGGGGAGAGCTGCGGTTGGGATAATGGCAGGGACAAGTGTTAATGGCACTGCTCTTCCCCAAAGTACCAGCGCCAGGACACAGGCTCACTGCTCCAGCGCGTGTCAACAAGAAGTGAGCAGAGTGAGGGGTGGCTTGTGGGTGCTGCCGTATGTAGCCTCTGGCTGGAGCTGGTTAAGCTGGCGCTTCCAAGAGCTTGTGTTTGCTGCGCAGTTGAGCGAAGAGGCAGCAGGGCTGGCGGCAGCTGCCCGCAGCCATTGCCTGCAGCTGTCTGGCGCTGCCTGAGAGCGGAGCATGTTGGTGGCAGCATCGCAACCCCCGGTCCTTGCTGGGGTCACGGGGTTCTGCTTGAGGCTGGGGTCAGTGGTGTCTTCCCTGCCTGGCTGTGGCTGCACAGCTGTCCTTTCTCCTAGGATGGCTTCCCAGAAGAGCAGAGTGTGTTGCCTGTTGGATGGGGCTGCCTGAGCAGCCAGTCCTGGTTTTGGCTGCATCTCTGATCACGGTGCTTTCACTCTGTGTATCAGAACTGAAACCCCACACATGTAGCCCCTTGTTCCACACACCTGATTTAGGAAGGCTACAGGAAGGCTTGGAAGTGGGGAAGACTCCTGGGATTTGGGAGGGGAGACGAAGGGCCAGGCTTGGTGGCACCATCTGTGGTCAGGTGCAGGAAAGCCTCAGAGTTCCCCGTAGGTGCTGCTAGGTCCAGCTGGTGGGGTTGGCTCTGCTCCTCAAAGGAGAGTTCTTGGGAATGTCTTCTTGCCCTCTGTCTCAGTGCTGGGCAGCCATTAGCATGGCAAACCTACTTCCAGAAAGCAGATTTAGATGAGAACATTTCCTTTTGGACTAGTTTTCAGACGGATCATTGAAGCTGTGGTTTGTCTTGCTCCCAAGTGCTGCAGCCCTTCCTGGCTGGGGACAGCGATTGTTGTTGGCAGCAGGATTAGTTTAAAGGAATTGTGAAACTACAGGCTGGGAGGCATTGGCTGCACTGGCTTTTTAAGGGCATCTGCTGCTGTTTTGCACATGTCCCAGACCTTGCTCTCCTGTCATGGTAGCTCTGTCTTGGTCTTGTGTCCCAGTGCAGGTGGCAGTGCCCTTTCTGTGCGGGGACAGAGTGGGGCAGGAGGGGATTGAGGGACTGTCACTGCAAATGAGAGTTTTGATAAGAACTGGTGGGTGGTCTGTGATGGGAACAAGTGAGGACAAGAACTTGTCCTGTGCTGGAGCAGTGGTAGCGAGCTGGATTTTGGAGTGCATGTGAAGTGTGCTGCCTGCCTGGAAAGCTGCAGCTGCAAATCTTGCTTCCTTTAAGGTGGCCTCTGCTGCGGTGGAGAGGCGTCTTGCATGTTGATGGGACCTGCAACCTCAGATCATTCCTCCCTCCGTGGGAGTTACTGTGCGTGGGTCTTGGAAACAAAGCGACATTTCTGAAACCCCCAAAAGCCCCAGAGGCAGCGGAAGGGTGCACTCGCTGCCCTGGCCGAGTGGGCATTCAGAAGCTATGCCTCTTAAGTAAATTTCAGTAACACTCAAAAAGTGTATTTTGCAGTGTGGTAAATAAATCTCTAGCAAGTGGATGTGGCAATCATGAACCAGGAGGAGGAACTGGCCCTCACTGCAGCCAGAGACACTGGCTGACAAACCAGCTTCTTCCTGCTCTGCTCTCTATGTTTCCTCCATCCCAGCCATGCCATGGTCTTGGGTAACTGCTGGGGAGATGCCAGCACCTCATGGTACTGCCTGGCCTCGCTGCAGAGTGTGGCCCTGTTTGTAAGCCGTGAGTTTGGGCTTTTCTGGGAGCTGAGTGGCATGAGTCACCCCATTGCCTTCCTAAATCCAGTTTTCTCTCTTGGACCTACCCTGAGACTCCGTGACTCAGGCAGTGCTATCTACTGCTGTTTGGGGTAATTACCTTGTCTGACCAGAGACACTGGAGATTTGCTGCTAGCTGTGCTTGCCTTGGCACAGGCAGCCGAGAGCAGTAAACACACCTTCGTAGGAAATCTCTGCAGCTAATCGGGTGGTGAGCCAAAACCGAGCAGGCACAGGCTGGCCCGAAATGCGGGGTCAGAGGATATGGGGTTAACTGGGCTGCAAGTCACCACCAAGTGCAAATGAAAGCCTGTGAGTTCAGGGAAGCAGGAGGTGGGGTTTGGGAGGCCTGGGCAGTGTTCCTCCCACGGGAGCAGGTACCACCAGCCTGGCAGAGCTGGCTGGACCGGCACAGCCTTCCGAGTGAGTTAGGAGCTGCATTGCCAGACAGGCTCTGGGCAGCTGGTGTGAGCAGGCGGAGTGTGTGTGTGTCAGCTGGCTGCTCACAGTGCTCCTCCCTGCAAAGGCACAGCAGTCGGAGACCGAGTTTCCTGTCTAGACCCCAGTAATCATGGTGAGAGGGGTTTGCACGCAAGCTCCTGCTCTTTCTCCTGTGATTACCAAAGCAGAAACCAGGCCCCAGCTCCTTGGGAAGGAACACCTCACTTCTGCCATATGTCTTGGAAAATTCAGAGACCACCTGCTTCTCACCCCCCCTTGATTGGGGCTGTTAGTCGGGTGGGAGCCAGCTGCCATGCTGCCTCCATGCTGCTGGCCTGCAGGAGAGCTGGGGAAGTTTGCAGCCCCCCGGCTGCTAGTGCAAGGTCTCTCTTGACGCTCAAGGGCTGCTGCTTGAGCCCAGAGAGGAGGCTTGCTGGGGGCTATTTTTGGGAGGAAGGAGTAAAAGCCTCAGGACCAGCCTAGATCCTCTTACCCCAGAAACTACATGATCTAGGAGAGTGATTGACAGAAATACAAATTCCCTGAATGCTCCCCTGCCTGGGACTGCAGGTCATGCTTAAGTAAAGAAATGGCACTAAACCACGTCCCTTTGCCCTGAGCTGTGCAGCTCCAGCACCCCTGCTCCCCCGGGGAGGGCAGAGCATGCTGCTGCGCAGGAGTGGGCACCATGGATCCACGTTGGCCACATGATTGCTCCTGTGCTGCATCAGGCCACCTTAGTGCTCAGGGTCCCTCATCCTCGGGGAAGTGGACCGCAAATGGTTGTCAGCATGGCTTCTGAACAGAGACATTTGAAATCCCCCTGCGTCCGGAGAGCAGAGCTGTGGTTTGCAGCCTGCCTGCTCCTGGCTGCGTCTGGAGGTGTCTGTGTGCGGCACAGGGCTGCCTGGCTCCCCCCTTGCCGTCCCCCTCCTGCTCTCTGGAAATGCCTCTTGCTGCCTGGTGGGCAGAAGGGGGTGGGGAGAGGACAGAAAGCCAGAACTGTTTCATAGGGTAGTTTAATTGAATTAAAAAATGTTTTAGTAATAAATGAATGCATAGAAGTCAGCTCTGCTGATGGCACTCTCCTGCAGTGAGCAGAGTGAGGTGGAGCTCAGACCCATGGAGGTTTTCTGGGACCTGTCTCCCCTCACAACTTTCAGATTCAGTTCCTTAGATGTGAAATCTCTCAACATCTATCTGGGCAGCATGAGAATGGTGCGGCAGTGGCAGAAGTCCTACTTGTGAGTCGTTGGCAGGAGGAACCTGTGCTGTGCCTCCTCTCCCAGCAGTTTCCTGAAAAGCAGCTCTTGTAAGTGAGAAGGATGCCATGTGCCTGGGGACCACGTGAGAGGGACAAGGAGCCTTTTGCCATGGCCCTAGCTGTCGCTAGCATCCTTTGCTGTTTAAATAAAAGCCCTTCGGTATTTAGAAATTGGTCTGGAAGAGCTGTCCTCATGGCGTGGGCATTTCAGCTGAGTGCACAGAAGTGTCACTGCAGGTCTACTGCAAGGGGACACATGGGGAGGGATGGCAGCAGGGCTGTCCAATGTGCTAATGGATTTTCCTTCAGCGTTACGGGCCCCAGCTCCCCATGGGCTTGCAGGAGTCAGGGGGAGGCTGTCAGGAGAGCATCAACTTTTCAGTTCTTGCCTGTCACCAGCTGGCAGTGGTCACGTCCACACATGTGGGTGCACACACAAGTCCCCCAATCTGCTCCCAGTAGCAGGAGGGTGCTTTTGCTGCAGCTTGAACCCATGGGTGCTGCTCTGCTCCAGCCAGCTGGCAGCTGAGGGAGCATCCCAGAGCAGCATGTGTTTTTAGCCTTTCATCCAGCCCCCCAGTGTGGCTGAGCAGTGCTGAGGCCCTTGGCTCTCCCCCTTTAGCTGTCCTTGGTTTTTGGTGGGTTTTGGAGGGTATGCATACCATACTGGGCTCCTCTGCCTGTGACCGGGGAGATGATTAGTGGAGCCCACGGCAGATTGCTCTAGTCTGAGGCCCAGACTCCTGTAATTTAATAATAATCCTGCCAACGCTTTTTTATTGGCTAAGCCATTTTTTGCTTGGCCCGGAGACCGAGCTCTCTGGAGCTCCCCAGCCCTGTGCTCCGTGTGGGGCTGTAACCACCGTGGCGTAGTGGGAGTGTTGTGCTGCAGTCGTCCCCAGCAGGACCTTGTGAGGACAGCAGGCCCCACACCAGCATGGAGCAGGTCCCACCTGTGGAGCCCCATGTGTCCCCGAAGGCTCTCCCCATGGTCTTCTGCAAGCCCATCTCTGGGAAGCCTCCACAGGGCCCCACCCAGCCCACACCAAAATGCATTTGGAGCAATGCTCTCCCTGCTGCCTGCACTCACAGCAGCGCCTGCTGCCAGCCTGGCATCCACCAGAGACTGTTGTTTGTTGTGTTGTC